CTGATGAGATTGGGATTCGACTCGATTTCGTTTGGAATTTGGTTTTCGGTTGCACTTCCGCTTCAATTTCGTGTTTCTATCGTTCTTCCTTCTCGTCCTTCTCGTCGTCGTCGTCCCTCCATTGGGTTCCTGTGTGCAAATTGGGTTTCCTCTGTGCCGTGCAGCAGCATCGGCTATGGCCATGGCTCGCACTCTGATTCCCTTCAGCCGGATTGCCTAATTGACGTTGGGCCAGGAGCAGCAGCAGCAGCAGCAGCAACAACCAACAGAGCCAGAGCCACGGCAGGACACTTAGCTGCAACAATCGATTCGCGTGTAAGTAGGCGAAATGCCTTTTGTGTAGGGATCTCTAAGCCCCGATGACAGGGCCTCCTTCTCCTGCTGTGTTGTGTCCAAACCTTTTTGTTTTATTGAAAATATCTGTGATAAATATTTAAGCTGTGAAAGAAAACCAAAAGCGTCGTCGCGACCGAAAGATTTAAGCTTTAAAAATAGAAATATACACACACAAATATATATATGTACGAGTGTCTACGACTGCATTGTCATCCCTCCCCCCCAGCGCCCAGAAACAGCCACATCATGCAAATCATTGAACGAGGTCAGGCTCCAGCTTTGGTCCATTGTCATCCTTACAACACACAGACACAGGCACACACAGGCACACAGGCACCACTGTAACACAGAGTTACCACAAAAGACAGTGTGACGGAGCAGCATGGCCATATGTTCTTATAGACCATAAAGTTGTGCAAATACAAATATGCCAGGCAATGCCAGCATGCCACCAAGCCACCATGCCACCAAGCCACCACCATGCCACACAAAACACAAGTAATTCTCAAATATTGAGCTGGCAAAAGCTCAGCAAAATCCCCGAGCATTACATAACTGACTAACTGGCTAACTGGCTCCTAACCTGACTCCCACATACAGCAACATGCCACACACACCACACACAAGGCAGGCAGGCAGGCAGGCTGGCTGGCTGGCTAAGGCTAAGGCTCAGCGACACGCAAACGCACACAGGCATAAAAAATTATACTGTACTTACTTTGCCTTGACTTTAATGACTCTGACTGCAGCAGAAGCCGCAGGAGGATGCCCAGGCATCAGCATCGGCACTGGCACTGGCACTGGCACTGGAAGCGGCACTGGCATCCTCTTGCTGCCACAGCATCAGCATCAGCAACAGCAACAGACAAAGCCAAACTAATCAGCACGTGTGTTGGTATGCCTTGGTATGCGTGTGTTTGTGCGTGTGGCACAAACAACGGTAAACTGACTCCGAGGGGGAGTAAGTGGGTGAATGAGTGGCCGAGAGCCAAGAGCCAAGAGCAGGCCTGCCTTCCTTGGAGCCGAGAGCGACCTTTCCCTTCGTCGTCATTCTGCTCACTTTTTATGCTCTCGCTTAATAGTTTTGCTTTGTGGTGTACGTGCACCGATGTATGTATGTGTGGGTGTGTGTTGGTTTTCTGCATCATTACGGCACGGTACAGTTGGTTTCCTTTTTATTATATGTTTTTATACTGGTGTATGTCTGTCGGTCTGTCTGTCTGTCTGTAGCTCCTCCGCACCTTCGTACAACTCGTCTCGTACATACCACAGCCTTAATTTTGCTTAGACGTGGAACATGGAAACTAGGTTACTTTTTCATGAGTGAGTGGGTGAAAGTGTCAGTGAGAATGTGCAACAACAAAATAAACTAACAACAATTGTTTATTATGAGCAAAAGGCGAAAAAGGCAAAAACCATCCATGCCCATGACAGTAGGGACCGCGCTCAGTTGGCTGCAATGGCCTTGCCTTACCACCAGAAACAGCCCCAGCCCCCTACCCACAATGCCTAGGGTTGCCAACGCTGATGATGTCCCGCATGACCGCTAAAGTCCCCAAAATGACAGACCAGTGGCAACCAAAAGTTGCATCCCATACCAAATAGGCAAGAAATTGACAGTTCCGTTTGGTAGGGGCCCCGACGGAAAACAGGAGCAGAGAGTGCCCTAAAAAGTCACAGTACAACCTTTATATGGGAGCCCTGTGTAGCCTCGTTGTTATTTAATGTCTCCGCTTATATACGCAGTTAATATACGAACAATAATAGCAAAAAATCCGCTCTCTCTCCGCGGAATCAACGTTCCCCTTTCATATTAATTAAAAACAATAGTTTTCCATATCCATAATTAATATTATGAAACCGAATGGCACAGCACGAAACGGTTAAAATAAAATCCAATAGCTGAGAGTGGAAGCCAGAAAAGTGCATCGATAAATTCAATTTGAATAGAGGCACAATAGAAGCCAACAATTCCCCAGTGCCAGGCGACTAATTAGTCCTTGCTCTTCATCCGTCATGGCTGCACATCAGGCCCAGGTGCTGGCCCAGTGGCTGGGGCAATCAGTTGCGGCCAGGCAGGGCAGCAACAGGCTAGAAGAAGCCACAGCAGATGGCGTGATAGTTAGGCCAGGGACTGCGGCGAGGGGAAGGGGGCAAGGGCTGTGCTTTCAACACCACATTTATAATTAAACAACATGAAAGACAAAGAGCCACAGGAATGATGGAGCGAGACAGAGCCAGAGCCAAGGTACAAGCACAGAATGATTGAGCGAGACAGCGGCAAGCCAAGAATAGAAGGAGCAGGCAAACAGATTGGGGGGCCAGGAGGAAGGGAGGCGGGGCAGGTAGGTAGGTGGGTAGGTGCGAGAGTGTGCCACAAAGTTGGTCGGCAGCATTTATGAGCCCCAACGTAATGGCTGTTAACAATTTAACTTGTTTACCTGTGGGAAAGTTATATGTTAATTGGTCTCCTCCACAGACACCAGCACGTGCAGGCGGACACGCGAGCGTGTAGGCCGTGCTGCCCCACAACGGACACGCACAAGGCTGGCAAAATGTCCTTAGAGCAGCGTGCATGTGGCACGACTGGGAGTCACTCTGTAGAGTGAAGCTACAGGGCAGACATTAGTTTGGGCAGAGGAATTTAACGATAGAAATGACTTTTTCTTCGGAATAATGTTTCGTACCTGCAGATCTGAGTTTATATTGAGGCACCCGATTAAGATATCCGCCAGTTAATGCAGCTTTAATCCAATTCTAACGACTCCTCTTTTAATGATGATCGTGAATATGAATACAAAATGAGGGCAGGATATTACGTCCAGCTACTCTCTGGCTATGCCCCTGCAACCTGGCAGCAGAGTGGGGTAGCATAAAGAAAGACGAGGCAATAGCATTGTGCTGAGTAGCTCCTGCCTGCCACAACAGCATCAACAGAAGCAGCAGCAACAGCAGCAGCAGCAACAAAAGCAGCCGCAAACAGCACTTGGCCAAGTGAATAATGGCAGGCATCATCACCTGGGCCAGGACCCAACTGCCACGGCAAGCTACTCCCCTGGCACACCTCCCCTCCTGCCAGCCAGCCAGCCTGCCTTCCCTGGGCATTAACACGTTGCGATTACGCCTCATAGCCCATGCAAAGGCACGAGCACGGGACCGAGACCGAGAACGGACCAGGGGATTCATGCCTGGACAGAGTTTAGCCATGGTCCTGGCTATGCCCCCCCTAACCCTAACCCCAACCACACTCTCTCTCTCTATATGCATGTTTGTTGTATATGAGTGTGCCGCAGCCTTTGCTCCACTTACACATACATATGAGAGTTTGATGACGACAGCAGCAGCAGCGATGGCGATGTGTGATGTGGCATCCAGGCTGCAGTTGCATCACTTTAAAGTCGCCTTCCCCATGTGGCTGCCACTGATGCTGAATGCTGTTGCTGCTGCTGCTGCTGCTGCTGGGGCTTAAAATGTTATTACTAATTTTTTGCAATTAAATGAAAGCGTAAAATGTTAAAATTACTTAAATGCTTGCACTGTCCTTGCCACTGTGTGTGTGTGTGTGTGTGTGTGTGTGTGTTGGTTTGTTTGGGACCCATTTAGGGCAAGTATTTTTTAATTAAATTTCTGGCGCGAGCTCATTTTGTAGAATGCCAACAGAGTATGCGGCAAGGCAACAAAATGCAGTAGAAGCCAGGCTAAAGAATTAGCAATGCTGCAAGGGAGGGTTGGGTCAGTGAAAGGGGAAGGGGAAGGCCGTGAGGGAAGTAAAATCAATCAAATAACAATTGTGAATATATGTACGTATATATATTCTACATACATATATCTTATCTTATCAGACCTACGGGGTACCCCAATCAGACACCTGGTCTGAACCAACAACCGTGTGACCTGCCTGTAAATGCATTTGTGTGGGGTGTGTGTGTGTGTGTGTGTGTGTGTGTGGTATCTGTGTGCCTTGTGATTGATTGGCAAACAAATTTTGACACTTTACACAGCGCCAACAACAAGGGGATACAATCCCCATGCCCATCTCCATCTCCATCGCCATTCCCATTCTACCAATTTGTTCAGCGTTAATTAAAACTGCTGTAAAATGCACAAAAGCGTTGAGCAAACAACAACCGCGACGACAATTGGAAAGCGTGGGGTGCTGGCCAGGGATATGAGCATGTTACAGTGGGTGGGGTTGAGGGGGGAGTAGATACAATACGTACATATATCCGTGTCATATGCGAACGCGATAACCAAAAAACGAAAAGCGGAAAGCGGAAACGGAAACGGCAATCGTAGCCGTAACTGTAACCGTAACCGTAACCGAAAATGAAACAGAACAAGCGGGGAAAACCAACGGGAAATGCGAAACACGAATGCAAACACGAAACAAATAATGTTGGACTGTGCTTAAAGTAAATAGTCTGGATTGATGAAAGTTATATTCAAGAATTCATCAACAGGCATTTACTTCAACTGCAGTTTAGACGATATGCAACTGGATAACAACGCGCAGCGTGCAGTGAAATATTCAAATAGTAGCTGACTTATAACTTGTTCCATTAGAGCTAAACTTATCTGTATTTAGTACTTATTTTGTGGCATGCAGATCAGCCCATTGCTTAACCCTCCCACTGATACTATTCACTCTCTTCCGCTTTCGACAGTCCGGCAGGAGAACGAGCGGAACATACGGGAGAACATGGAGCGCACGCGGATGATGAAGAATCGAACGGAGTTGAATCTGCAGCGCCAACATCTGATGGAGATGCATATGCACGTTCCATAACACGTTCCGACCAGGAGCAGTAGCAGCAGCACCAGCAGCAGCACCAGCAGCAGCAGCAGGACACAATCAGCGGCAGGAAGGAAGTGACACCCGAGTAGGGCAGATGCGGCCGGATGAGATACCACGACCAAGATGGCTGTGTCAAAGCGGCAACAAGTTTTGTGACAAGCCAAACAGGGGAAGTACTCCCAGCCCCTCTCTATCTCTTTTCTGCCAGCTGCTCCGCTATCTTCGCTATTGTCCAGACACTTTCTTCCTTCCTTCCCGCCCAATTCCCTACACAAATGTTATGCGCACAAAAGGTAAAATAATAACAACAAAATACAAACAAATCAAAGGCATAGAATGGAGCAGCAGCACTCCGAAGTGCTCGGCAGAAACCCTGCACCACTTGTTTTGTATCCACAATAAATGAGAGAAATGAAGCAACCGGTTAGACCCCCCCCACCCCATTGTCAGACGAGCAGAGGAAACGCGAATTAAACTAAAGTAAACGTTAAAGTAACATTAAAGTAAAAACCAAAAGTGATCCAGTCTAGTGCTAAGTAAGAGTCAATAGTCAAAATGTTGTTAGTAGAGTTTGCTTCGATGGCATTGTAAATGTTCTCAGTACAGTCCGATCTGGTTTGCACCCCACACACCTCATGGGAAACTCTCACTAAAAATAGGATTATTTATTTACTTACAAATTATTTAATTTAGTAAATCTTTTAATTTTTGATTTACTTGAACCAATCATATGATGATTTTATCTCTTAATTGGTGGCGTATTCCCAGAGGGCAACTGGCAACCAGAACGGACCAGAACGGATTGTCTTGTGTGTAATTGTTGTGCTTGGGGTTGTATCTCCCGATGAGATTAAGGAGCGACGCCACTTCTCCAGATAAATAACGAAAGCCAAGGTTTCGATTTTTAAGTTTTAATTAATTAGCAAAATGGTTTCCAAATGTTTTCCTTATTTAGCTTAGCTTTTCCCCCATTTGATTTTATCCCCAACGAGTGGCGTCGATAGAAAAGTAAATTTGGTCGATAGTTATGTGTATTTGAAACTACAAAAGTTGTTAACTGAATAAAAGTACTCCTAAGTAAATGTTAAAGAAAGTAAAGTTGAGAAAATGTAACGAAACGAAACGAAAAGTTTTTGTAACTCTAAGAAGAACTGGCAGTGGAACTAGGAAAAGGCAAAACAGAGGCAGTACAGTACGAGTATTCCAGAGATACATTTCGAACATAAAATAACAATAAATATAATACTATGCATAACTGAAAAAAAAACCCCCAAAAACCCCCAAAAAGAGGAGCGAAAATTCAATTGTTTGGAGCAGGAAACCAAAAAAAACTTGTGCCAGATTGGGGAGACAGAATCGCGAGAATAATTGTTGTATAGCATAAATAAATAAATAAAATAAAAAAAAATAACTAACTAAATAGCAGACGAGTAAATAAATGTTAGGAAATTAGCGGATCGATGTGAAACTGTTACTTAAGTGCAAAACGAGCTTGTTGTCGAATTAATTTTAAATGGTATTACATTAAGTGAAACTATGCTAAAGGTTAAATGTTTTTTTAGGTGTTCAATGTTGCAATTAATTTGTGGCCCAAGGGGCAGACAAAGACAAAGACGAATCGCATTGCCCCGGTCCGGTCAGATCGCTGTGTACCATACGAGTATATACATACATCTACATATACATACATACATACATACATACATATGTATAGTGCTATATATAATTTCAGTTTTCGTATGCTAACTGAGTTGCAGGTTTAACGAGAATTTTAGCTTGAAGCAAAATTATATCGGTTTCAGCATTGGAGGCTTTTGCAAGATTGTGAACGTACCCCCCGCTTCGCTCAGCTCCTATATAGTATGTATCCCCTATCATCTCATGTTACCTGTTTTTGGAGGCGGAAAACATTTTCCAAAAGATTTTGTGTGTCCAAATTTGTTGCCGGACAGTCAATTAATTGGATCTAAACAGATGAAGATAAACACTGGCTGTCCCTCGGGTATACATATGTACATACATACATATATACGAGTAGATATACATGCATATACATATATATATACAGACATACATGCATATGTGTTGGAGTTTCAGGGGGGTGGGTTTGGGGGAGTAGAGAGGTTCAGTGAAGGAAATGAAAAGCTTTAAATTAGCTAAATAAATTTCAGAAATAAACATTGAATTTGCATTAAGCCGGGCTCGGTGTTGAGTGCATTACGAGTACGACGACGACAGACAGACAGACAGACAGACAGACAGACAGACAGACGGACAAATAGATACAAAAACACAAGCAGAATACACACACACACACACAAACACAGATAAACAGATTTATAAGATTTGCATTTCGGTCAAGGAATCAATTTCACATTTGACCAGACATCAAATATGGCCAAGAGAAACACAACACACACACACACACAAAACACAACTATAGATAAACGAGAAGAAAAAGTACGATACTTAGTAATGGCATTTAGGGGGAGGGGGAGGGGCATTCGAATGGGGGAAATGGCAGATGGGAGAGATATGTACATCATATTTACTAGGTTTGCAAAACTAATTGAAGCGTGTGCTAAAGCAAACGATGCAAGGAAACCAAACAATTAACAAAACTAAAATAAATTGTCTGTAATTATGCGTAGAGCTAAGTGTGTAAATTGTAAGCTGAATTATTATACAATAAAACAAACATATAGAATACAACCAACTACAGCCGAAGCGAAGCCGAAGGTACATACTGGAAATACTCGTAACATTTGTTGGCCAGAACACAACAGAAAAACAGTAAATAGAAAACACAGGTTAAGAAAACTGCAAACAGAATATTGAGTATTAACCCATAAATCAAAATTGTTTCCCGCAAAAATCAAACTTTTTAGCCTTTGAACGAGAGACTTTGGTGCCCAAAATCCATTTTGAGCAATTATTTACAATGAAAATACGAAAGAATACACAAAGAACAAGAAACACACACACAAACTAATGTAAATAGGAAAGCGGAAACAGATGGAAAAAAAAACAATAATTGAGTACACGAAAATGGGCTTCTGCAAACCGCATAAATAAATATTAATATTAATTAACAACGGAAATCGAAAGAATCCGAAAAAAAACACACACATAATATACGCAAAAAAAACTGATAAAACTTCAAAACTTGATGCAAAGGAATCAACTTTAAATGTTAATTGTTGCTCGAAATAAACGTAAACGTAAAACAAATACAATACATAAATAATTATAAACGAAAACAAATTAAAAATAAAATACATTTGAACGCATTCAGCGTTTTATTCATCAAGCAGAAAATGTTGAATCAAAAGCAAAACCAAAATCAAATTGTGTCACATGTGTAGTATATCTCAGAATGTATTTGTAACTGGAAAAGTATTGAAATGCGCAACAAGAATTCAAAAATCAAATGAAAATAAACTGAATTTACAAATGGAAGAGATTTCTTAGCGAGTGAATTTTCTTCTTGGGAGGGTTTCTCGCTAAAATGGTAGCGAGGATGTTTATAATTTGACTATTTAAAAAAAAAAAACGTTTATTTATAACGAAGGCGCCACTAGTGCTGAAGAGTAGAACTAGGAAAAAGAAGCGCCATACACAGATGGCGCGTATGCGGTATTTTTCATCAATTTCTGGTATATTTCAGTATATTTTGATATGTTTCGGTATGGTCAGACGACCAATCCGCGGTCACACTGAGTGCTCATTTTTTCGTTACAAAATGAGCTCCAATTCGATTTTTTATATATTTAAATAATTAAAATTGGGAAGAATCCCATACCGTTTGCATTCAAGAACCATGCACCTATTTCCAATTAGAATTTAGGATTCGTTCGTTTGAATTTGAATTCCTGAGCTGAACTCTGGGCATGTACATAAAACGGTATAGTGTATCGCGATCGTTTGAAACAATGAAACAATTCGAATTAATTGGCAATTAAAAAGGCAAATAGAGTGCGCGATATCGGGAGATATATAAACAGCAGCAGCTGTGCATATACATATTTAGTTTTCCCAGAACAAACTGAACCAAAATAAACAACAGTGCTGCGAAGAGGAAGAGCAGAAGCGATCCCCCAACGACAACGCAGCAGAAACATATTTCAAAAGCAGAACCAGAACGAGTCGCAGAAAACAGAAAAACAACAATCCACACCAGAGCAGGTCGCAGTCGGTCTCGAAAAACGGCTATTAAAATTTATTTTTGTGTTTAGGCGTGTGTGTGTGTGCGGTATATATAAAAATATTTAAACAAATTCATCTGCGCAGACGAAAACGCAGACGGTCGAAAAGGCTGAGCAGACAGATAAACAACACGGTCGGCGCTTGCTCTCTGGTGACGGTGACGCGGCAAGGTGCTGGAGGTCACTCTCGCCACATTTCGCGCACGGCCGTTCTGTCCGTCATCACCACCCAACCACCCGCCCGCCCGCGTACTCCCGCCAGGCCACATCCAGTTCCATCCGACCGCGTCCGCAATCTGGGGCCGCGCGATCACATAAGACACGACGGAAGAGTAAAGAGTAAATTGTGAGGAAAAGTGAAGAGGAACCAGAAAGCGAAAAACAACAACAAAAACAATAGCAAACTCACGCGCTTCTCTTTATTGTTGGTCCCCCCACTGATAAACGTTGCTATCGTTGATAAACATCAGAGGCAGAGGCAGAGACAGAGACACACAAACACCAATTATTCCAATCAAATAAACGCCAAGTGCGAATGCGCCCTCGATTTGTATGCCAGCAGCAGCACTCGACTATCCATTCCCATACCCATAGCCATAGCCATAGCCATCATACCCATAGCAGCGCCACTGACGTCAGTGGCTTGACTTGGGATCGGAATCTGAATCGGCAGCAGCGTTATCGTTATCCGAACATGGTTGTGCCGGAGGAGCCGGGCTCGGGGGGCTTTAATCAGACCCCACTATCGGAGCTAAGTGCGGATACGCGCAATCAACTGGCCCGTATGCTCAACCGTAAAAAGGTACTCCACTCGGAGGAGGGTTACGAGCGGGACTGGCGGGGCATCGCTGCCCTGGCCCACCAGCGTGGCTTCGTCGAGGAGTATGCAAACAATCCGATGGATTTGGTGCTTAGCAGCTGGAGCCAGCGGAATCCAGACACCGCCAAGGTCGGTCATCTGGAGCACTTTCTGGGCATCATCGATCGCTGGGATGTGTGCGACGATATCCAGGAGAATCTGAGTAGGTGCCGGCCACAACCCACGTCCCCATGTTCGTACCTAGCTAATCATCCCCAATGATCTCCTCTGATCCGTGCAGTCAAGGACACCAGGCGCTACAATGTGAGGCAGGAGCAGCAGCAGGCTCTGGTGGAGGCCAACCGCCCGCCCACTCTCATCGAGACCAACAACAACAGCAAGAGCAGCAGCAACACCAACAACATCACAATGGGTCAGAGCGTCCAGATACTGAGCGACGATGACCAGAGATGCGTGCAAATGGGCCAGCCCCTGCCCAGGTACAACGCCTGTGTGCTGTACGCCGAGGCTGACATCGATCACGCCACGGAGATCATGAACCACCTGGAGTCCGAGCGATACAATCTCAAGGTGAGTCCAGATCGTTCCGCTTGTGTGTGTCTGTGTCCTCCCATCTAACCGGAGGGGAGTCCGCTTCCAGCTCTTCCTGCGACACCGCGACATGCTGATGGGGGTGCCCTTCGAGCACGTGCAGCTGTCCCACTTCATGGCCACCCGCTGCAACCACTTGATTGTTGTGCTCACTGAGGAGTTTCTCCGGAGTCCAGAGAACACGTACCTCGTCAACTTCACCCAAAAGATACAGATCGGTGAGTGACAACTGACAAGTGCCAAGTGGCAGATGCATGCCATGTGAGGGCAGTCCAAATTACAGGTTCCCCCCCTCGTTTCTCCCTCCACCGTTCGCGTAGAGAATCACACGCGAAAGATCATCCCCATACTGTACAAGCCCGACATGCACATACCGCAGACGCTGGGCATATACACACACATCAAGTACGCCGGCGACTCCAAGCTATATAATTTCTGGGACAAGCTGGCCCGATCGCTGCACGATCTGGACGCCTTCTCCATATACTCGACGCGGCAAGTGCAAACGTGAGTTAAATTTCCGTTCCCCCGTTTTGTTCTCAGTAAACCAAAATACAATTCACGCACCGCACAGACCCTCGCCGTCGGAGGAGATGCCGCCACAGCGGGTGACCACGCCTAGCATACGGATACAGATCAACGACAAAGATGTCACCGATTTGCCCAACTACAGCTACAAGGCGCTTGTTGAGGAGGACACCACAATTGTGTCGATGACGGGCGACACCAGTGCCCCGCTGCCGGAGCCAAAGCCGAAGCGGAAGGACAAGCTGTTTGGAAAAATAAAGATTAGCTTTGGCAAGACGCCGCGCAACTTGAACGGCACAACCGGCAAACCGTTGCGGCATGCGCACTCAATTAGCACCATCAATGCCACGGAACGCGAGCGCACGCTTAGCGCCAGCAGCTCGAACATCTCCACGACGTCGGAGAGCAAGAAAAGCTCCATTAAGTGGCAGCCCAGCATACTGAAGAAGGTGCTGTTCTCGCGCAGCAGCAGCAAGCTGCAGACCCCAGGATGAGCTCCGCTCCAAGCGGGAGGATCAGCAGAGCAGCTCATTTAATTCCCCAAATTCCCCATTCTTGCGCCCAGTGCAGGGATCCGATCCAATCCAGCCCAGCCCAGCCCAGTCAACGTCCGTCACCCTCCATGTTTTAGTGATAATCTCTAGTATAAACCTAATCAAAGCCAACTAACTTAATATACTTAGACGCACTTGTTAACTTATATAAGACAACAACGAATAAAGACAATACCATATACATACATGCATATGTGCCACAGACATACGTAACCCTAGATATGTATACTAGCAGCTATCTATGTACATAAGTTGGTTGTATGAATGATGATGAATGATCTGATAAACAGACAATTGTATGTGAGGTTAAATGTGCAACTCATTGCTAATCGAGGCAAACAATTAACTGTTAGTCACGCGTTCGATAAGTGACTTACTTAATTCAATTAACTGGACCATCACCCCGTAAACAGAACTACAATATGTACCCCCCCACCCAATCACACTCCCATGCCGTTGCTGTTCTAGCAACTTGAAGGCGAATCGGACACAGGCACAGACAGACAGACCCGGACCCGGACCCCCCCTTGACGTTGAGTGCCTTATCTAAGATGAGTAACAAATACTAGTATATATGTATAGTATATTGTCTGAGCTGTTTCTTTATTCCTACGTATATAACTTTGTGAATTGCCCAAGCAATATTTCAGACCGAGTTTCGTTGTTTTTTGTGTGATGATTAGGGCCTTAGCTTTAACTATTTAACTGATTGTAGCCGATTTCTGTGAATGCGTGCATGTGCGCCATGGGAACTTACATATGTAAGCTTTATTTACTTGCATTTCGCACGTGTATGTGGACAACAGTGCGTTTCATAGCTTGTGATTGATAGCTTGTTTTTCTCAACAAAATACGTGGAATTTTACTTAGATTTCTAGCCGCTTCAATACATTAATTTAATCGTTTAACACTGAAAGTATGACCTTCACAATACATACATACATATGTACATACGTATGTGCCTATGAAACGCACTGTAAACGTATCGCGAATGAGTATGAGTATGAGTAAGAGATCCCCGAGAGTTGAGCGTGCCCCGAGCAGGCAATAAACTGTTCAATGTTTGGCTCAATAATTTATTGTTGAACGTAGGCAACCTTTAGTTCTCGTTCATGTTTAATAAACATTGCGATTCGTGTGTAATTCCCCCTCACGAACATATACATATATGCAGATCAGTTGCGTGTTTGGGGAATGGGAGGAATGGGATGTTTATCAACCAGTTCCGGTTAATCTATAAGACAATTTCAAATTCTGTTTAAATTTGTATTTTTTTTCTCGTTTTATTTATTTTTCGTTTTTATTGTTTAAATCGCATCATAAATAACCTTTTGTTGTTGTAATTTTCTTGTTCATGTTTCTTGTTTTTGTTGGTTTTTTTTTTGTTGTTTTTGTTTTGTTTTTTTTTGTAATCGAATTTTATTGTTATTTGTTTTGTTTTCGTTTTTGTTTTGTATTACTTTTATTTTACGTTTACGTTTTTTTACCCATCGTGAAATGTTGTTTAATTTTAGTTGATTCTCAATGTTATATGAACTTTTACTTGTGTTTTTTTTTCCATTTTTGTTTCGCTTTTGTTTGTAGGTTTTCTTTTCTGTTTTTTGTGTGTGTGTGTGTGTGTGTGGTTTTCTTAGTCACATGTTTTTAATGTTTATCCATGCTTTTTATTATAATTATTATTATGTATATAACGTAATGTTTTAATAATAGCTCCTAACTCGATTTCCTCGATCCCCTCGCTCATCATCCTATTCCTTTGCGCTTTTCGCTCCTCGCCATTCGCCTGAACAAATTTAGTCGCCTGTCTGCCTATTCGATTCGATTCGATTCCTCCCCAAAACATGAGCCCTTGATCTTTAAACTTTGCTTTAATTGAATTCATGAATTTTTTTTCTTGCTCAATGTTGTATGTTTTTGTTTGTTTGTGTGGTGTGTGTGTATATCGATTTATATATATATATAATTTGTTTTATAAATGTTAATCTGTTATATTTGTTGTTAATCTCGCATCATTTTCGCTCTTCTTTTCTGTTCTTTAGTTTAGTTTTATTTTAATGCCTTTGTTTATCGTATAACAAAATGAATAAAAACAATTTGCAATATGTTTTGTTTTGTTGATTGGTTTCCTTTTTTTTTTTTTTTTTTTGGTTTTGTTTTGTTTTGTTTTTGTTGTATATGCTAATTGATCAATTTATTCGTAATATTCGCACTATTAAAACAATTTAACGCATAATGTGGCATCGACATCTTCATCTCATCTTCTCGGCTGCCTGCAACAATGACTTCTTTCCTCTAAGGCTCTTCTTCCCCGTTTCCTGCCCTGCCATCTAGTATGGATATTACGAGTACTTGCAAAACATTTTAATGCATTTAACCGGGAGGCGATTTATCATTCATTTCGCTTACTTTCCAGCACATTTTCTGTTTTGTTTTGTTTTGTTTGGTTTTGTCAGTGTGTTTGTTTTTTTTTTCTGTTGTCATTCGTTTATTCATCTTATAAATCTAACTGATTGCATTTACACAGAGTGTGTGTGTGACAAGTCTGAGAGTCTGAGGGGGGGATCAACAGAACCTAAACTAAACTCAACGAATGATGTGGAGGGAACAAGATCAAGATCAAGCTCAAGATCCGTGTGTTGTGGTGGTGTGATGTGGTTGTCTCTTAAAGCGTTATCATCTATAGTTAATTGTTAACAATGATTATGATTATGGAAGTCAGTTGAAGAAGTCTGTATCAGTATGGAAGCTGAGTTATCATACACATACGTACATACATGCTGATGTATATACGATGTGCTGCGGAATCTCTCGTTTTATTCTTATGCAATGCCGCTTTGGGGCATTTACATATGTATATATGTAGGTATCGGATCGTCGTTTCTATATATATATACACATACGCATGTATATATCTACGCACAAATGCTCTCGTCGGCACTCGACTTCCACCTCACTCGATCGGACTCCATTCCACTCCACTCCACTACGCTCCCTCTGTACTCTGCGGCTTAATCATCAAGTATATAGTATACATATATACACACATATACATACATATGTAGTATATACAGTACACACATGCATACATATATTTTTGTATTCATCCCATGATCATCGTGTTTGGGTTGGATTGCACATTACGAGCAGCGCATTCGTTCTGTTCTCGACTTAATAATAAATTAAAACAACGCTAATGAATTTGTTTTCCGCCTGCTAATTGTGAGTTCTCGTTTTGTCGCTATCGTTTCGGAGGCAGCCCCACAACAGTCATCCTGCTCTGCTCTGCTCTGCTTTTGGAAGCGGCTTCCTACTCGCTCAACTTTCCACTTATTATCCGTTATCAATTATCCAATTTTTTTAATTTATACATACATACTAGGGTTTCGCTTTTATCTATGTATATCTTTCTCTGTTTAATGCCTTTTGTTTTTGTGCCTTGGACAAATGCATGTTAAAAAATCATTTCGTTAATATCTTAGTTTCTTTCATTTTTCATTGTTCTTTGTTTTTTTATTATTATTTTTTTTTTAGTTTTTTAGCAGAAGACAGACGTGTGATTGATCTTAACTGTGGAAGTGATTGCGTTATTTGTCCATTTGTTTGCTTTCTTTTTGGTTCTTTATGCTTCTCGAAGCGCACGCGTGCTGTTCGGATCGTTCGGATCAGACGGCGATCAGACAACGGGAAGTGTGGAAAATTTCGGAGAGTGTATGGCCCGCCCACAGGGACAGAGCGAGATCGTTGCGAGCAACGTAGACCAGCTACGACTGCCGGGGAATAGAAGAAACACGATTGCTACGATCGTCACACGGCATTTAGATTTGTGCTTCGTTTCGACTCGACTCGATCGCAGCCGAAAACCGCTTTGTGCTTGTGCGTACAGCTTCGATTTGCATTCGATTTGCAATAACAATTCTATAGTTTAACCAATGACATCGATACGCATTTATTCGTTTTACCTAACTGTACTGTGACTATACATACTCCGGGGTATGTCTATGCTAAAGGGTGGGGGGAGGGCCCTTCCGTTGCAGCTCGATTTGCGTGACATCCGAACGATCACAGTGGATCGGGAAGCCAAACTCAACGGGGAACGGGGAACGGGAACTGGACAAATGCTATGATGATGAATCAACTACATTGTGATTTAATGATGTCGGGCTTGGCAGTGTTTTTGTTTCTTGATGCACACATCTATAATTCTAATTTCGAGTTGCTCCCTTCTCTGATATTTCCGCCTAGGAACATGGGACGTAGATGGGTTGGGTTGTGTGTGTGTGCTCAACTCAATGTGTGACAATAATCTCTATATAATACTTCGTTCGATATCAGGCTTTTGCGAGCAGTATTCTTATTGTTTTCACTTGTTCTAAACGCTTTTTACGTTTTCATTTCACTGTACGTTGAACAACGTTTTACAGCACTACAAATAACGGCAGTTTGGCATTAGGATTCTGATTGGGAATTATGGTTAAAAATAACAACGTAATCATATCTGTTATGTATAATTTATAGAGTAGTGAAGGAACTGAGGATCTTCTCACATAGGAATATGGAATACGAGTACAAACCAATATACTGATCTGATCTGATTTACATTTAGACATTTTGAATTCAGTTTACAGTTACAGTTTTGTTCTTCTTTCTTTCTTTGTTTGTTTGTTTCTTGCTTTCTTTGCTCTCTTCTCAACAACAATTTATAGTCTCTGTTATTATCTTCTCTTTGGCAACTTAGAGTTCACGTGATTTAGATTAGATTTCGACTTATGCAAGTGACGCTCGTAGTCGGAGTCGGAGTCGGCTATATTTATGGGCTATCCAACTAAATAAGGCTCGTTTGGCATACGGTACACGGAACATGACATGACGACGTTTTTTACGTTTTTTTTTTTATACAACAACAATAACAACAAAGTGGGTGTGGGTGAGAATTTGTTGGGCTTTCTGGGAGGAATGGTATGCAAGTGCTCTTTTTTTTTTATTGGGCTGTCGGGTTGTCGTTTCAATATCGCTATTCACTCGCTAAATGCTACAAAAACTGCGTTTACACATGGGGAGGGGGGGTGTTTACCTTTGTCTTTGATTTTTGTGTGGTGTGGTGTCGTGTCTGTGTGTGTTTTGGGACTGAATTTAGTTATGCTTACTTCACTATTGTACAATGTGCGACTTGCATTATTATATTCTCATATTTCTCATATTAATTTCTTTTTATATATATATGTATATGTATGTATGTATGTCTCATGGTGTATCTGTCTGTCTGTGTGCGATGCAGCCTCCCGTTTTCCTATAATTTTTTTGTTTCGTTTTCAGTTGTAAAATGCGCTAGTTTATTGATACCTTTCTTCTGAGCATTATCTATCTGCAATGTGTGTATTGTTTAGTGGCTATGAATGGGTTTGCATATGCATTTGCATTTGCCCGTATCTGGTTTCGTTTAAATTCTATCCTCCTCGTCCTCCTCCTCTTCCTCCTCCTCGACCTCCTCGCCGTTCTCCTCGAGCTCCTCCTTGTAGCCGGGATGCTCGGAAATGGCATAGTAGTT